GTGGTGTCACCTCTTTGGGGTCACCCAGGCCACCCGTCCGTGTCCCCAGGTGCCAACGGTGAGCGGTGCCCGACGCCGACCCCGCCCGGCTCCCCGGGGACACCCCACGACAGCTGCAGCATCGCCCCATTGACGCCGTCCCAGTCCCCGGTGAGTGGGGGGACCAGTAGGGTGGTTTTGGGGTCACAGTGAGGTGGTTTTGGGGTCACAGTGAGGTGGTTTTGGGGTCCCACTAAGGTGGTTTTGGGGTCACAGTGAGGTGGTTTTGGGGTCCCACTAAGGTGGTTTTGGGGTCACACTAAGGCCCTTGTGGGGTTCTGAGTAAGGTGGTTTTGGGGTCTCAGTAAAGTGGTTTTGGGGTCACAGTAAGGTGGTTTTGGGGTCTCAGTAAGGTGGTTTTGGGGTCCCGGTAAGGCAATTGTGGGGTCCCAGTGAGGCCAGTGAGGTGGTTTTGGGGTCTCAGTAAGGCAGTTGTGGGGTTCTGAGTAAGGTGGTTTTGGGGTCACAGTAAGGTGGTTTTGGGGTCTCGGTATGGTGGTTTTGGGGTCACAGTAAGGCAATTGTGGGGTCCCAGTAAGGCCAGTGTGGTGTCCCAGTAAGGTGGTTTTGGGGTTCCCAGTAAGGCCATTGTGGGGTCCCATTAAGGTGGTTTTGGGGTCTCAGTAAGGTGGTTTTGGGGTCCCAATAAGGCCCTTGTGGGTTTCCCCAGTAAGGCTGTTTTGAAGTCCCAGTATGGCCATAGTGGAGTTCCCAGTAAGGCCATTATGGGGTCCCCAGTAAGGCAGTTGTGGGGTCTCCAATGAGGCCAGTGTGGGGTCCTAGTAAGGCAGTTTTGGGGTTCCCAGTAAAACATTTGTGGGGTCCTCAGTGAAGCAGTTTTGGGGTCCCAGTAAGGCTCTTATGGGGTCCCAGTAAGGCCAACGTGAAGCCCCATTAAGACCCCTGCAGGGTCCCAGTAAGGCCCTTGTGGGGTCTCCAGCAAAGGCTTTATGGTGTTCCCATTAAGACCATTTTGGTAATCCCAGTAAGACTATTATGGG